CCACAGCTCCACCCTGAGATTCTGTATTGTATCCCAGAAGAGAAAAAGGTTTGACAGGCAGGAGACCGAAATGAGATAGATGACAAAAACAACAACAGCAGCAGCAGCAGCAGCAGCAGCAGCAGCAGCAGTCAGGAGCTGAAGTAGAGTAAATAAAAGAGATGGGAAGAGTTCCTAATCCAACATTACGAAAACACAGAGGGAATTTGATTTGGCTTCCTAAAGCTGTTTTGGAATTTTAAATCTCCGAACAGCCTTGAAACGCTTTCGTCTCGAGAAAACAAAGGTATTTGTTCTATTGAAGTGAATGAAAGCGTAGCTCGTCCTTAACACAAAACTATTTCAGAGGATGTGCACTCATGTGATCGCAGTGTGTATTCAAATAAGGAGAAATGTTCCTTGGGTGCTACTGTGGAAACCAGACCATTATTGCAGCTGACAGAGTCACAGCCTTGGAGGAGAAGTTGTGCACTGCTACGCTTTTGTCTGGCGGCAGTTTAAATAAAGTGAGATGAGAAGGAGCACTCACGTCAAACACTTCCTCGATGTAGACCTCGTCGTTGATGCGCTCTCTGAGGATGTCCTGGTTCTGCCGCACGAAGGTGATGTAGGTGTCGGCCACATCCATCCCCGGTTTCTGCAGGGGGGGAAAGGAAAGATGGAGGCTGAAATCAGACACACGTAGAGGACGGGGAGTTCGTTTAAGGCGTTCAGACGTGTTGGTGAGATGAGGTGAAGCTCATGGTCATGAGGCTGTGGACGACAGACATGAATACACGTGCAGTAACAGAGATGAACACTGAGCATCATCTCCATCATCTTCCCCCAGTAGCTATGAGCGCCATTACAAACATTATGTGTATATATATATACATACACACATCCCAGTAGCTAAGAGCGCCATTACATGTGCATATACATACATACACACACATATATAATATATATATTTACATATATACAGATTTTACAAACCACATAAATGTATAGATATAAGTATTTACAGTATGTATGTGGCTGTAAATATACTTATTCACACATACATATATACATATATACATGCATATATACATATGTTTATATGCATGTATAAGTATATTTATGGTCACATACATTAATACATTTTACAGGTTTTACAAACCATGTCCATATACATACATACATAACCATATATGTATGTATGTATATATGTATGTATATTTTTTGTATTTTTACACTCATGGTATGTAAATAAGGTGCTTTTTTGTTTCCTGAACATTTTACTAAAAACAGCAATCTAACACACCCCACGCTAATTCTAGGTCCCTTGTAATGAGCAATCTGAATTTACTACATCAATGTATGAAATGATTTTACAAAAAGAACATGGGAAATGAATTAATATTCAAATAAATCAGAGTTTTTTAAGCTTGCTTAAGAGAAAGAAGCTTTCAGTCAAACGTCCAGTACAGTCAATGCTGCCAATTAAATTGATTTTTTATTTTTTTAACTGCCGTAAATATCTCAGGGTCAACTGCTGTGTGAGTTTTGTTCAGTCTGAACATGTAGTTAATTGAGTTTTGCTTGCAGTATTGATCAAATTCTAAAGGGAGTGAAATGCGACTGCAGGGTCTGTGGCTGCGCCGACCTGCGGTGGTTTACGTTTTCATCTCGTCTTTTTTTTTTATGTGATCCCAACATTTACTTAATTGTTGCTTTGAACTTATAATTTATTTACAAAAGACCTCATTAATTCCCCCTGAATAAAACACTGTTACCTTCACTTTGGTCACCTTTACAAAATCTGACGAGGCCTTTTTATGTAACAGTGTTCAGTAAAATGTTAATGAAATAAAATAAAGCGTAAAATGCGATGTGAGACAAAGTTTAGGAACAAACGTTACACCATCTTTCAAATGAGTATAATAGGTTTTTCTAATTGGTTAAATCAGTGTTTCACAAACTTTTTTTTCTGGAGACCCATATTTTTAAAGTCACAAACCTTCGCGACCCAAGTCAACAGACAGTATTCGTAAACTCCTGGGAAACATGACAGTGAGACGACACAAAAAAAAAACAAAAAAAAACTCTTGTGACCTACCTCAGGGTCGCGACCCAGTCTTTGAGAAACACTGGGTTAAATCATTAGGGTATGAATACTTGTCAGTGATATTACTTACTGACCAGGTATTGTACACAGAGGTGGTAGGACCAATTATTTCACCCAATAATTCACATGTTTATCTGGGAAAACACTTTAGTCAGTCACACCAGAGAAAAACAAGGTTGATCTCACAATCGTCTAATGAACAACCACTCAGTTGAATGTGCTTTAGCTTCAGTTTTTTATGTAGCGGCAGCAGCAGCAGCAGCAGCAGCAGCAGCAGCAGCAGACTGGCACCTGAGTGAAATTGATTTCAATCCACAAAAAAAAATAAAATGACTAATCTGAGCTCATGTTGAGTGAAGAAAAGCTCACAATAACAATAATAATAATAAAAACACTCCCTTATTAGATGAACCAGAGTGTCCTTGGTTGAGATGCCCCCAACACACATACACCAGGGTGGAAAACAACAACCACCAACACATGTTAGGGCAACTTTGTCTGTGCTGGGACTAACAAGAAGCTGCTGGAGCTGCGTTGACGGAGGAAACATTTACTGCGATCTGTTCAACAGGGAGAGGCCAGAGGCAAGACAAGTGGCTGGAGCCCAGTTCATTCACACTCCCTGTTGTCAGGGGAGATTACCACTGTAATGCTTATTGTAATTGCTTTGACATCTTTCACACCCGTTTCCACTGAGCCCTGCATGTGCCAGCCCCGGGGGGACGAGTGCTGCTGAGCAGGGCACGTCAGGTTCCCTACGAAAAAAAAAAAATAAAGCCAAGATATGTAACCTGAAACATCCACGAGGCTTTAGACAATTTCTTAGTTCCTGTCATCACAAAAACAGCACACAGGCTGCGCTGTGTGGCACATGCAAAACAAAAACAAACAAAAACAACTTCATATACAGCCGTCCCTCGGTGCATCGCGGTTCGGCTGTCGGGTTTTTAATATTTTAAATGGATTCATGTATTACGAGTTTTTGCGTCGTATAAATATTTTTAAATTTTCAATATTTTCATGATAAAATAAGCATTTTCTAGCCTAAGAAGAAAAAAAATTGTTAATAAAATACATTTTTGTAAGACATTTTGTAAAAACATTTGTGAAAGTTTTGTTTCACGTCCTACGGTAATAATAACTATCGCGTCTCTGCTTTTTTTAGTTTTTCGTCTATCGCGGGTCTTGGAACGTAAACTCCGTGATAGATGAGGGACAACAGATGTTACTGAGCAGAACTTAAACTGGGTCTGGATCAACGAGAACGTCTCCGTCAGTGCTCCAGGTTCGTCCATCGTCTTATCTAAGTCCTGTATTTACGACTGATGTGGCTGTAACCTCGTCAGTGGAGCACATTCTTCCTCCAGACGCTCAAGTCGTCTTAAGTCTTTGTGAAAGTCCTGTATTTACGACGGAGCACATTCTTCCTCCAGACGCTCAAAGACAGATTCTCAGGCCTTTAATAGCAGGTGACAGAAGTATGAAACCAGTCGGTGTCTCGCCGCCGTAATTCAGAAGGACTGACAGATGAGAAAACCTGCACTGGTTAAAGTGGGGTCAAACGGCTGCAGGTGTTTGGGTGCATGTCTGTGAATGCGTGTGTGTTGTTTGAGGAAGAACGTCGGAGGCTCGGTGCCAGTGATTGACAGACCTGTCAGAATCACAAAAAGGACCTGGGAGAGTGAGGATCACTGATGGAATCTTGATAAGAATTAGCCACACGAGCTAACACCTGTCATCTCAACAGACATTTTCAGGTCATGACCTGTAATGCAGAATGCAGACATATTTCTGTTCTTCATTATTAACTTTTCAGTAAGTTAAATCCCTGGGCCCTAAGTGGTCAATACTGCCTTTAAAATAACCTCCCCCTCCCCCCAAAAAAGAAAACTTATGCTAACTTTAGCCCTAACAAATCTGATGTACCGTATTTTCCAGACTATAAGTCGCTCCGGGGTATAAGTTGCACCAGTGCCCTCTAGTGGCTGTCAGTGTGAAAATAACAAACGTGAAATTATATATTTCAATATATAAGTCACACCTAAGTATAAATCGCAAACCCAGCCAAAGGTTGAAAAAAGTGCCTGTTATAGTCCAGAAAATGTGGTCGGCTTGAGGGCTGTGCCCCCCACTTTGGCAACCACTGTGTTAACTGTCTTGAAGCTGAACCTAATGGTTCCTCAACCAAACGGTAAATTCAATCTGATATACTGTTCACACAGATATATCAGATACAACAGGCATCAACTGATTGTTGTTGCCTGTTGTATGGGTGTTTGTCAGCTGTACATGTCAATGGCCACATATCACTGCCCCTGGTGTCACTCCAAACATCAGTTCCAGCCCCTCAGGGCTTCCTCTCAGACATTTACCTTTCCTTCTCCTGGCGACAAAGCCGCCTGACAGATCAGAGTTGTCGGCACAGTTCCAGCCAGCGAGATTAGGACTTTAACACGACAGAAAACAAAGAGAGAAACACACACGCACACACATACACACACATCTCAGTCCTCCTTGTCACGCTCTGCTCTCTGCCTGTTTTGTCTCCTTCACTGTTTCTTCACTTGTAGCCAAACAACTTTAATCCCCTTCCAGTCTGGATAAAGGCCGCTCGGCTGCTCATAATCGTGACAACACACACAAACGCCGAGTGTAAAATTAAGCGGTGCTCGGATACAGACGGGGAGGAGAAAGGGATTGAAGTGGCGTTGGGAGGAGAGCGGTGTTGATAATGAGCACTTAGCAAAGGACTAGGTGGAAGAGGAGGGCAGTGAAATGCCAGGTAATTACCTCTACCAGCCTCTTGTTTCCTGCTCGGGATTAATTTCATTTTCTGCCAGGTGCATGCCGTGTTTGTACAAATATGTGTTGCATGTTAAGGTATTATTTCCCTCCCTACCGTAAACCCCCCCCTCTCCCCACCTCGGTCAAACCAACAGACATGGCAGGAAATAGCTGTGCCCTGTCGATTCCCAGCCATTGTTCGTGGGCCATTGATGCCCGTGTAACCTGACACTCCGTGCTGTGACTGGACTTTGTCAGCTGTGAATTTCTGTTTGTCTCGGCCAATATTTTCTCACACGGGGAATTTAAACATACAAAAATATGATATAAGATAAATATTTTATGCATTCATGCTATGTTATAGCGCATACATTTTTGTTGTTGTTGTTGGTCTGTGAAAGAAAAGAATGGACCCCAAAGACTGGGTCACGACCCTCAGGTGGGTCGCAAGGGATTTTTTTTTTTTTGGGTCATCTCGCATTGTGTTTCCCAGGAGTTTAGGAATAATGTCTATTGACTTGGGTCGTGAAGGTTTGTGACTATTAAAATATGGAAAAAAAAGTTTGGGAAACACTGGTTTAGAAAGTATCAAATAAATATCAGATCGAGGTAAATCAGTCTGACACCAACAGGCTGGAAGCCTCATGTTATGTGACAAAACATGCACGAAATGGAGCCGTTTCGTGGGGGGGGGGAAGCCAGTCAAACCTCCCCTCCCCTCCCCCTTCATGCCACCTGGACAAGAGGCTTACCTGCGTCAGGTTCCCTCCACACAAAAGACCAAAAGACGAAGGTAGCCGTTACATTATAATTTGGGTGGAGGAGGCGGCTGACGAGGAAGTCTGTACTATGGCTGGGCAGAGGATTAGGGAGGTTGAGTGAGCGCCATCTCAGCTGTTCCATGAGTCATTACAGGACATTCTCACATCTGCTGTTCCAGATCAGGTTTTTTATTAAAAGCTATGTGTTGTAAACAAAAACAACCCGAGACAATAACGAGTGCAGCAGTGGCTGAAGGACGAGGAACTGGAAACTCTGGTTGATGCTGAATGAGGGACAGTTTCCTCAATGTCTAAAAACACAACTGTTAGTTTGTTGGGGTTTTTTTTCTATTATCTGAAGCAATAATTTGGTTTAAGGGTGACATCAAATGTCATTTTTAATCAAATTAAGCTTCATACTATTATCTGCTGTTGAATAAAACTACAAGAATTCGATGTTGAAAAAAAAAATCCATTTAACTAGAATTAACCAGGAACAGTGAAGAGACTGTTTTTCTACAAAATTAAGCTAAGAAACAGAAAATGCTACATTTGTTTATTTATAATGTCTGTTTATTTGTCTAATTGGACTAATGACTTTTCAAACATCCACAGGTAACATATTTAACGCACAAAAAAATCTAACTTTTAGACGAACAGATTATATTTAACAATATTTTTCTGGGCTCCACTCAGGGCCGTTGACGTGAAAGTAAAGGCTTAGAAAATATTTATCTTCTGTTTATTTTCTTGACCTAAAGTGGATATAAATAAACTACTAACAATTCTGTTAGAAAAACCTTCTAACAGAATTGACAAAGTACGCAATACTTTTCAAAAACATTATATTAATGACTTTCAACCTTTTTCCTGCAACATACAGCAGAAAGTTTCTCTAATAAATATGGAGTTAATAACAATATACATAAATACGGCCAAAAAATCTTATTCTTAATCTTAAAATCTCATGAGGAAAAAGAATTTCCGCTTTCTTGTTTGGATTAAAGCCTGAGAGGTTTGGAAGAACTGATAATGAAATATCTGTCGTCCCAGTGGAAGTTTTTTTCTCTCTCTCTCTCTTTTATGTTCTGCCAGAAATTATGTAAAAAGAATTAAGAAATCACAAAGGAATTGTTCTTCATTTACAAGGAGCTGCTAATCACTTTAACCAATGAGAGGTCACCGCGTCATCCAGATCTATATCTGGACGTCCAACCTCTCTCTCTGCCTCACACTTCCAACATCCCATAACGTTAGCGGCTCGTCGCTTCAACATGCCAGCGCCCGTCTCGTTCTCCTCCTCCCCCTCGCTCGGCCCACCTCGGCCCCTGACCTCTGTCACGTACGCGGTCGTTCATTAAGCGCTCGGCGCCCACGAACACTTCAGCAAAAACACTTCTACTAAGTGAGAGTGCAATTAATTAGACTGGTTGTGTGATCTTTGGCTCTGAAGCTGCAGAAGGAGCTGGTTTTTTTTACACACATTTAACACAGTGTACTGACAAATGACAAAAAATGTTAAAAAACAAAACAAAAACACAACAGGACGGGATTTAAACCAAAGAACTTCTGGTGGTTTGATTGAGGATGTCGGCACTTATATGAGAACAACACACTAACAAAGGGTGAGGCAGAGGGTGAGGAACTCACAGGGACTTCCACATATTTGGCAGCAGCTTTCACCTTTCCACGGGAGAGGAGGAGAAGGAGGAGGAGGAAGGCCAGGAGGGAAGAGAGAAGGAGAAGAAGAAGAAGAAGAAAAAAGAAGAGAGACACTGGATTTGAGCTGGGAAGATCTGGTTTCCAGCAAATAACAGGTTTTCCCTCCGTGAACGGAGAAGGAGACAGCTCCCCGAACAAAGCGCGGCTACTCACTGTGAAAGACAGGATTGAGGAGAAGAATGTGCCTTCATCGTATCTGGACAGTTTGGAGAGGACGCCGTCTAAAACACTGGCAAACTGTGGACACAGGACGAGACGGAAACACAATCACAAACTCATCTCACATTTAGTCCTGCAGTCTAAAACAATTTAGCAATTCAGTCGTCCCAAATGTATTTTGTATTGTGGATTTATTGCTCTATTGTGAGTTTTTGCGGTATATACATTTAAAAAAAAACGGTATATATATATATACGTCAATAATATAATAATTTTTGCGTCTCTATTTTGCGTATTTTCCTTGGAACGACACTGTAATCTGTAATACTGACTGCTCTGTAGATCTGCAACGACTTGGTTTAAAATAGGCATGAAAAAAACCAAACCATTTTTCTGTGTATTTCTTGGATGTGAAGTAAAGTTGTTGTTGTTGCAGCATAAAAAAAAAAGTTATGACACAAATGCAACAAACAAACGCACAAAGTAGACGAGTAAGATGTTAAAATAACCACAGAGGAAGAAGGTGGAGAAGGAAAAGCACAGAAGAAAAAAAAAAACTAATTTTCAAAATGTCTGTAATGTCTGTACCTATACATGTAGTTTTATTTATTAATCACTGATAAATTGGAAACTTGACGCTCACCCTTACATTTTATTTTTATTCACTTCACAGAAGATAAACAACCGTGTTGGGAGGAGAAGATTTTACCTTGGAGATGAGGGAGGAGATCATTTCTTTGAACGCCTCATCAATCAGGACATCGATTTTGGAGTGGTACTGTTGCTGTGGGGTGGGGAGAGGGGGAGACGGGGAAGAGGCGGGAGGGCAGAGGGAGGGATGGATNAGGGAGGGATGGATAAGAGGAAGTGATTTATATTTTTATGATTTGTCACAAACACAAAATTGACAGAACGCAGGGAGGGAAAAAAAAGTGACTCCTCGCCTCCCTGATGCCAAACAACAATACTGTCCGTGCTGTAAAAGGAGAAGTAGAGGAAGAAAGTGCACACACACACACACACACACCTTCTGACACAGCGAGGTGTGAAAACCTTCCCATCCGTGCAGCGCCAGTGAGTTAAGCAGCTATTAGGACCATTATTCGTCCTGAATGACATTCCCGTCTGTGCTGGAAAAGCAAAGGAATCTGAAGGATACTTTTTGTGCGTCTCCCTACAATTAGAGCAGCCTTGTATTTCTCTAAAGCACCGGTCCAGCTGCGAGGACCAAAGGCTCACACAAGATTCAAATAATCCGCCATTTCATGTCTTGTTGCCCACCCCCACCTCCTCCTCCTCCTCTTAAGAAAAAAAAAACATATTCATGGCACCTTTCTCCCTTAGAGGGAGGAGAGGCGAATAAAAAAAAGGCTGGGGCTGAGCACTGAAAAGCAGCAGCAGCAGGGGAGTTCATCTCTTGGTGACAATGCCCTTTCACTGGCCGTCTAAAGAAACACCCAAATTAAAAAATTTCGATCAACAAAGGACACAGATCGCTGACAAATTGCGGGTCTCGAGAGGTCAACGCTGCCCGGCCCTAATTTTCTTTTCTCAGAAAGTCTGCAAAATGGCAGCTCTCTTTCAGTGCACGGATTCTTTCTGCTGAGTTTTTTTTTCTCTCCTTCCATTTCCCTTCTTACCTCACATAACACTGCTGCTTTCAGGTCCTTTTTTTTAAACCGCCACAGAAAAAAAGGACGAGAAGAAATGGTGCAAACTGTTCAAACTTAAAAGAACAATTATTGCTTTTAAAAACATTTATCCCTTCATTGAGCCGTGGCCAATACCACGGCCATTTAAAATGTTCTACATTCTTTAACTTGGAATGATCTGAGATGACAAAAAAAAAAACAAAAAACAACCCACAGGACCACAGATAAATTACTTTTCATTGATTTTAAATCAGAAGAGTTTCTGGCCCTGGATTAAACTGTGGAGACCAGAGAATAGACAAAACTGACGGGTTAAATACTGTAGAGTGTGTATGAAATAACTGAAATAGACCACGTAAAAAGACTACTTTTCACAAAGACATCTCTTTAGATTTCTTACCTCACAAAAAAAAAAAAAAAACGAAGCAGAATTAAAGTAATAGCCAAACAGAGTGAATGGTTTTTAATGGCCTGAATAAATAATGACATTCACTCAACAAACATGAATATATAATTAAACACATTTACTATTAAAAAAAATATACAAAAATATTTTTGTATTTGTAAAGTGACCAAATAACTCATTAGACCTGGCATGGGCAAACTAAGGCCCGGGGGCCGGATATGGTTCGTTCAGCTTTTTAATCTGGCCCGCCAAACTTTTCCAAATTATATAATTATATAATTTATTCATATTATCATTATACTTCTAGCTATTCCCTGCAATACCCATGTTCTCCAATAGATGGTGTAGGAAATGATAAGAGCATTTTAGCATTTTAGCCTTTATGCATGACTTTTACACGTCATTTATCTTAGTTCACACGAACACTCCATCTATCTGACCCCGCCCCTCTGTTCAATTTTAGGACAATTGTGGCCCGCGACAGCATTAGACCCATTATTAGCTCATTAGCTAGCTAGATAAATGTTTGTTATTCATCGCTATTCATCAAATTAGGTTTCAAATATAGTTTAGATTTTTTAAAATGGTATTTTAAGCTCAATAAGCTTCTGTGAAATTGAAACTTTAAAAAAATTTTTTTATCCTGACTTGACCCCAGCACTTGGAGGTTTAAAAGCTGTTTTTGCGTTGCAGATCATGTGCGTTTGTTCAAAGCTGACTCTTCACTACCTTTTAAGGAAACTCAAGGAAGAGACACTGTGTATGTGTTGAAGTGATGGCAGGGAGTTCATCAAGAGAGATTTGAAAGGATTAGCCAGAGGATGGAAATAATGGAGAAGACTTACCCATTGTTTGTCACTCTGGAATTCAAACAATGATGACCGGGGCACATGGAGATGAGGAGTGGGACGTGGAGGCAGAAAGGAGAAATGGCAAACAGTCAGGTCATTAAACAAAACTCTGAGTGAATTAAAAAAAAAAAGAAATCTTTTCATCACACTGCCTTAAGTGAATTAAGAATCCGACAACTTCACACAGGTATAAATACATTACAATAACTGACCTTTTCACTGAAATTCTCTGTTTGTAGATAAAAACGTACAGAATCGTTTCATTAGAGTTTTGTCCTTGAATCAAAGATCTCACAAAGATTCACTGTTCAGTCCAAACCTCTGTATATAACTATGACATTTCATTATTATATGGAGATTTATATTTATAATTATTCTTTAAGATCCATATATTTGTAAATATGTGTATAGCTAAACAATCAGATAATATTCACCATGCTCTAATTATTACAGAACTGACAGCTGTTTTTTTTGACATGAAAATATTAACTTAAGCTGTTAAGTGTCAAAGAAAACATTTATCTAGATTGGACTTTTATTGTAGACTAATGTATATATTTATATATATATAAATATATATAAATATATATAGAAAAAAATGATCAACATGTCAACATGAGTTGCACAGGTTGAAATATTTTTTTTAATCTAAGTATACATGTATGAAAAGTATTAATTCTACCCTAAACTGTAATTACTGTAATGTGTACTGTATATTCTGACCTAACAAATACTGTATACATGCATATGTATACATACCTGTAAATATATAATATATATTTATATATGTATATATCAATACATCAATCTATCCATCTATATACAAATATATATATATATTTACACACAAATATTTATATATGTAAATATACATGTATAAATGTGTTCTGTCTTCTTTTGTTTACACTTTTCACCCTCGTATCATTTCTGTTTGTCTGTTCAATGTTGGAAAAATAACGGCACTAAACCCCAGTTAAATATAGCAGCAGAGCCAGGCCATATGCAGATGCTGTTCCTGTGCCTGGAGTTGGTCTGGTGTCGCCGCTCTTCTCTCTACAGGCATTTATTCCACGAATAAATGGACAGATGGTGTTTTCGAGCGCTCGCGGCGGCAGCTTGTGGAGACTTGAGACGAGAGGAAGCTGAAGGTTAAGAGAACAGCGAGCTCAACTCTCTGATAAGACTGCTGGCGGCCAAGGGTTTCGCTCTCAGCGGAGCCAAGGCTGCTGCCTCACGCGAGCGTCACGGTCATTCATTTAACAACGCGAGCGCGGTGTCTGGCTGCGTCAAGTGAACACAACTCCACCTGTATGTTTGCGGCGAAGCAGGCAGGTTTTAGTGGCTGACCTTACAGTCGGACTTGACCCGTTCCGTGTGAAGCCGCAGAATAAAAGACGGCTTTGGGAGTCGACTGACCTTTACTCAGACTGAACGCTGTGATAAGTCATATGGAATATGAAAGGGTTTCTTATTTATTTATTGTCCTTAAGTTTTACATCTACAAGCACTAAGGGCAGGGGTGTCAAACTCAAATTCACAGCGGGCCAAACTTAATATTTATTGAAAAATTGACTGGAATTGTGCATGTTTTCCCTTCTCTCCAGATCTGTAATGTTGATTTTTTTTCATTTGGAAACAAACTCTAATCTGGAACAACCAAAGCTTAATATTATCCATCCATCCATCCATCATCGTCCGCTTGTCCGGGGTCGGATAATATTATAAACACATGAGAAATTTAATTTGAAATAAGACACACATCAGTGGTGTTTGTTTGTTATTATGTTTCTCTCAATCTCTAGCCTTCCGTAGAACAACCAAAAGTACTACAAACCTGCCAGTATTTAGGGGCTATTTAATGGCAGGCCAACTCTAATACACATTTGATATGATCTCAATACACCAGGGGCCAGATTTGGGCCACGGGCCTGAGTTTGACACCTACGACAGAAACCTTAGAGGACAGGCTTGATACAGACGGAGATTTTCCAAACCAACAATTAAAATTGCCGGACAATCAGTCATCAGTGTAAAGTTGTGTAATTGGTCATGTGACCGTGAGCTCACCTCCTGACCAGTGTCCAGCACGCACAGCTTGGAGCACTGCTTCTTAGCGTCCATCAGAACGTTAAACATGGTGCAGACCGACAGAGGAACCCGGAACTCTGTGGACTTACAGGATTTCTGCATTTTGTTGTCAAAAGCCGATTTGGTTCTAAGACAAAACACAAGACACAGAAGAGACTTTGTACTCAGTGAGCAGAGACACTGACAGACGTAGGATCTGGACTGGTCACTGTGGTGACCACCGCGGTCTGACCTTTTAACGCAGGCCTCCATCATGTCACTGGCCATCAGTTTGAGTCTCTGCTCCAGATGTTTGGCAAACTCTGGCTCGGGCCAGTGCAGGTCCATCACAAACATCTGCAGAGCGTCCAGCTTCCAGAACAAGTCCTCTGATGTGGCCGAACCGTTGCTGCAGGAAGTAAACAGTGTAGTTTTGAACAGTATTTTGGACCTGGGTGAATCCTAAAACGGTACTTGCTGCTGTTGTCAGAACCTCAGCCGCAACGGAACACGAGGAGAGTTGACTCCAACATTGATTCCCAAAAAGAGATTTTTTTTGGGTCGTCTCTCATCGAGGAGAGTTGACTACAATATTGTTTCCCAAAAAAAGATTTTTTTTGGGTCGTCTCACATCATGTTTCCCAGGAGTTTCCCAAAGTAATGTCTATTGACTCGGGTCGTGAAGGGTAATATCTATTGACTCGGGTCGTGAAGGTTTGTGACTTGTGAAAATATGGTTCCCCAGAAAATAAAGTTTGGGAAACATTGGACTAGAAGGTCTGCTACGTCTTAAAAAGAAAAAGTCAGACAGCGCCACCATGTAAGAGGAGACCTGGGACATCTTCCCAATCCAGTTGAAACTGGAAAAGTCTTTGATTAAGCTGGACTTTTCTGTGATTTCGTTCTCAAATATGACTGGGGTCTCGACTCTAGTCTACTTTTTCGTTTTTTAACAGCCAGATTTCTATAAGTCGGACGACTTTTTCGTTTTTTCAACAGCCAGATTTCTATAAGTCGGACGATCTTATAGACTTTTCTAGGTTCTGCAGTTGTTCTTCAACAGGTTCTGACAGTTGAGGAGCCTACTTTAATTCCATTAAGACAGCAGTGGGCTGAGACGAGACAGATGGACGTCTGTTCCCCTTCTCCCCTGCGCACAGGTTACACAGCAACACATGGTAACGCTTACTGCCACGACTTTCAAGTGTACAGCACCCCGACTAGAATGGCAGTCACGGGAGGATGGGGGTGAGGGAGGGGAGGAAGAGGAGTGGGTGAGAGGCTTTAGAAGAAGCACAACTCACTCCCTCACTTTTCTCACTTCGCCTTTAAAAGACTGTTACCTTAAGAAGTGGCGCTCAGGAATAAATGCTCTGGGCTGAGTCCACAGTGCAATTAAATGCTCGGTGGCAATCCCCCTCATGTCTAATTAGTGGTGCTCTTCTCTGAGCGCGCTCCGCCCTGCTCCCCAGGGGGACGGGACGATCCCACTCTCCCGTCTGTGCTCGCTAATGAAGTGCCAGCTTTTTTTTTTTTTTTTTTTCTATCTTCCTTTTTTTTTTATTAGATTGCGGAGGGCCAAGTGAAGTGAGGCAGAGAACCAGTGTGGTTTGTGTTGTGGGAAAAGAAGGGGGAGTTAAACCGAGGAGCCCTTTAAAGAAACACACCCCTCGTTTAGTCTCCAGAGACAGCCGTCCCACCTCCCTCCCTGTGGACACGGACAGTTCTGTCTGTACAGTCACTGTAAAAATCAGAGAGCGTCAAATAAAACCACTAACGTCAATCTGTGACAGAGCGAGCGGTCGACCTGATGTCAGGCCTCATGTGTGGATGACTGACTGCTGAGTTACATTTACATAAGACGGTCCCTCGTCTACGGCGGGTGTTACGTTCCAAGACCGCCCGCGATAAATGATAAGAAAAACAGCAAAGTAGAGACAAGATAGTTATTATATTATTTACGTATATATTAACCCCTTACTGACCTTTGGGAGACATCGTTGAGCGTCAAATATGACAAAAACTTAACGAAACTTTTACAAATCTCATTTGCCCATACGTAAAGGTTATTTCTTTTAATCCCCTGTATGCTTGTTACAAAATGTCTTTTAATTGATTTCTTTTACTTTTTTTTTTTTTAATGTTTTTCTTCATAGGTTAGAAAAAGTGCTAATTTTATCACGAAAATAATGAAAATCTTGGAAATTATTATTTTTTAAATACTGCAAAAACCCTACTTAAATAAATGTTATACTAATATCTAGTTGTCATAACTTAGCGTCATCAATCATCAATCACTCACAAGACAACAAAGGATTTGTTCCTGAAATATCAATTCAAACGGACTGAAATGTGTCGTTGTAATTGGTTAATCAACTGATTGCACACAGAGAAAAGGAGAAAAGAACGAAGTTGATTTTTAAACAGTGACTTAGGTTTAACTTTGGCTTGTAATTTTTTTTTACTCGGTTCTAACAACAAACTCACTTGTACCTTTCACTGCTTACTTGTTATCATTAACATAATCAGAAACAAAAGAATGAATGATTTCCTTTTTTTAAAGACACTTGAAGTAAATCTCTCTGGTGGGAAATGTAACCTTGTTGGATTTTGTTGCAGAAATTTCGGGAATTTGGTTTATAAAGAAAAAACCTTCTAACGTTAAAAAAGACAAGTGTTTTTTCTCTAAACTTACAAGACTTCCGGCAGGTTAACTCCTTGAAAGCTGTAACACAAAATTTGGTCAAATGTGTTACTCACAGGTTGTCACTATGACATGTCCACTGCACAGCACACAATGATCATGGAGAACGCAAGTCAGAAGCAATCACGCACGGCGTGACACAAACCGATGAACAGACAGCAGTTTATAGTTGGAAACGTTGGATTCATGCAAACAACTGTCAACTTCAGAGACATGTTGATGCTGATGATGGGATTAATAGCGACTTTGAGAAGCATGAACATGTACAGTATGACGGAATGACCAAAAAGGATGAAACACGGTCCACGCTATGCTATCGAAAAACAAACTTCTGACCTTCAAAAAAAAAAAAAAAAAAGCCCAGACCTGCATGGCTGAGACGTCAGATTCTTTTCTAAAGTCTTTCTTGAGTCTAAGGTTTCCGTTCATCTATAAAGTCATAAAAAGTCAAATCAGTTTCACAAATTATGATCTTGACTGTCAGATGTAACAGACAGTCAGACTGTCCAATAGGGGGCGAACAAAGCTGCAGGGACAGTGATGTTAATCAACATTGTCCTCTGACCTGTGATACATTGGAATTTTTTACGTCTTCTACCCAAAACAGGTTGAATTATTAGATCATCAAACACTGGTCTGGTCTTTTTCTTCTTTACTGAGGATTAAAACAAACAAACGAGCAGGAAAGCGTTCACGTCTAACTGACTGATTTCTCCACTGTGACGTTCCCACCCTCACTCCGTACATACTTGTTGTCACACAGTGGTCCCATCCAGGCAGGTGCTGAGAAACTGGGCATGTTTGGCAGAGTCAAAGGGAGGCTGGGGACTTTGGGGAGAGGAACGTTGGCTAGATTGTTTGTTAAGGATCTGACAGCAGTGGAGTCGATCGTTGAAGGCGTAAAAGAGAAAGTGGGAAGAATACAAGAGGAAAATGAGAAAGAGAAACTGAGCACAGGTGCAAACACAAGAGAAAAAAGAGCCCACAACAGTAGCCACTCGAGGGTTCCTGCAGGGACGGACGAAGGACTAAATATCAAGCAGCAATAAAAGACAGGAAAGTCAATGCTTCGCTAGTTTTTGTCGTGTTTACTTTCATTGGCGGCTGCTGTTTGTTATAGAGCACATTTCAGGCCATTGTCGGTGGCTGCAGCTTGTCCTTGCTCTGTGTGTTCGTGTATTTACTTCTGCCTCTTTTTATCCAGCGTTGTCCTGCTCTGAGCTACTCTTGTTTCACGTCCTCATGTGTTATTGTCTCAGTTACATTTGTTAAGCCGCCGCGATCCCACGCATGTAAAGGTAACATAGAAAAGACAAAGAAAGTCAGTGTCTCGAGTCAAGTCACCACTGAAGCTGAAGTCAAGTTCACGGCCAAGAGACGGTTGAATCAAATACACCCATAATAGTATATGTACTCAAAATACTACATGCTGCTGTACTGAAATGGCCAGTATTTTAAAGTCCAACTCATACCACCGGTTATACAATTCATATCATGTTTTATAAAACAATAATTTTTAATTAAAGTCTACATTTTTACAGAAATCCTGACAAATGGCAACGAGGAGGTTCAGATAAAGTGAAGAAGTCAGGACAATAATCAAAGCCTGAATGAATAAAATGTGTGTATTCACATCCTGAAGAAACTCTTCCTGAACAAATCCTCAAAGTTTTCTACAAGGTAAAAGAACAGGGAGAGACGTGTCTGTTGGACTCTTACTTGACGGACTGCCAGGTTTCCTGCTCGAAGCCGCGGTGAATGGACTGTGCAATGGACGACTCCATCAGGTCGATGTACCGCACCACCAGAGGCACGTAGAGGTCCTGCAGGTGTTTGTGGAAGGTTCCGTTACACAGGTGACCTGTTGATCAAAAGAGAGCTCTTTACTGTTTAACAGGAGGAGGTTTTGCAGGAGGACAAAACGTTTTTTCTTTGAAATATTTCGACCTGTAAAACTTCAGTCTTATGGTTCACATAAGACGGAGACTTCAAACCCAAAGAACTTTTCAAGCTTCTTCACAACAATGGGAATAATATTTCATAACCCTGTGAGAATGTGAAAAGGAATTGAATTAATAATGGTATTGGTAATGATCTGCATCAGCATCTGTCATTTTTTTTTTCTTCAGTTCACCAGTCAGTTGCCATTTCCTTTGGCCTCTGTGGAGACATTACATTAGTTTAAACATGTGTGTCAGGTTGGTGTCGTGTTGTTGGAGGACAACTCATCAATCAACAGTGAGAAGTGGCTGCTCACTGCCCCTGGTGTCCTCCTGAAATCTTCTTAAATCCTCCCTCACTGTGGTTTCCTCCGGCCTTGAGGGATTTCCAGGTTTCAAAACATCTCAATAACAACGTATACTCCCACCTTTGTGTTTCTCTGAGTGGGACTGTGTTCTTTGGGTTTCCTGTCTCTTCATTCCTCCTTAAAAAATACAGACAACCTGCCTTCAGCCAACACGATATAGGTTTGTCCAACCAATGGACAGTTACTAGATGTCTAGTAACTGTCCACTATCTATCTATCTATCCATCCATCCATCCAAATGGACATCGTATTATGGTGCAGTCAGACCAAAAAACGAGGGACTCAAACCATTAACTACTCAGCAAAACGTTAATTGAGACTATAATGAAATAAGGCAAAGGCTCATGGACTTGCACACAAAGTGACTCCTTCTATAAATAGTGAGTGTTGTGCGAAGCAAGCAGGCTGCCGGTCTCCCAGGACTTCATTAGTTTTAATTCCTCTCGCTCGGCTCTGTCATGATTAACACTAGCCTTTTTTGCCCTCCGGAGAGCCAAGCCCATCTCCCTCGCAACTGCTCTCCTTCTCACGCTGACAATCAAGTGAGCATTTAAAATAATCCACAAAACAACTGAGTGATAATAGACTTGAAGCGAGTCCTAGCAGAGTCTCACGGCCAATAGTTGCCACAAAGGTTTGTTGATTTAAAAAAAAGAAAAAGATGAAAGATGAAATTTGGAGTGAACACAAAGAAAAGTTGTTGTTTGAAATGATGGTTCGGGAAGAGGAACTTGTGAATAAACTTTGTTGTTCTTCAGAGATTTTTTCAGTAAATTTTGCCACCCAAGTTTCAGACTGGATTCAATTCATCTCGCTCTCACTTAAGATGTAATTAACAAAGAGGGAAGACCTCATTTGCGTAAATAGTCAAAACTAAGATCTAGCTCGTTTTTTCGGCGCCGTCTCATGCCTCATTACGCTCCAATTCAAGTCAGCTAATGTTGTGACACTTGGAGTAATTACAATATTAACACAGGATGGTAATTAGGAAAAAATATAAAAATATGAGCCACAAAAACAAAGATTTGTGTCTTCTTCACATACTGAAAGAGAGATTCTTCTTTCCAACACTGCCCTTGGGCTGTCATTCTGCCTGCCTGTCTGTTACTGTATTGGAGGTATTTTGGCATCGGCCACGTTAAATAACGCCCCACGTCTTGCCAATTTCACGCTGGCGCCGAGACAAAGCTTGCGAGACGACAGAGGGCTCAACACAAAGAAGCATCAAGCTGAGATAATTCTCCGTCAATCAAAGCAAAAATGTTTTTACTTTGAGACACAGTTTTTCTGGAGAAGAAAACTGTGATGTTTTTGAAGTAAACCTGAGCGATACAGACGTTAGATTTATAGATCTGCCTCCACATCAGCGGGACCTTCAGACACTGAAAAAAACAGAAAAGCAACAAGTGGGCGACCAAGTCCAAAAAACAAAAACAAAACATTTTTTTCCCAAGGATGAGAGCCAAGAGAATTTCTGTTCATATATGTAAGCACCTGACGACGTGAGATGAAATGTACAATAATTAAGGCAAGAACTTCTGCAGCCGAAGGAACAGACGAAATGTTCCTACAGTTTTTAGACCTTTGAAATAAACAGAAAAAAAGACCCGTGCCCAAACTATCACATTTAGAAAAAACTGCTTCTGTAGATAAAATAAACACGATTGTAATTTGTTAAAAAATGATCAACCTTATCAGTTAAACTCTCAGAATGTTTCTTATTGGACTTTTGAATTGTTACTCCGTTCCAAATTCAGAGTGTGTTTCAGGTAGAGATTTCTAAGTCTCTAACACTCTATGGTGAGCAACTCCAGAAAATGATAACTGACGTGACAGGAGGACGACTGACAGGCACACAGACCAGTGGTGTGACAGAACTCCTACCTGCCTGAGCTGTTTCCTCCTCTGCTCCTGTTAATTACTCACTTTGTTCGTGCCAGGTGACGTTAACCTCCACTGTTAACAAGCCCCCCTCCCCCCCCCACACCTGGTATCAATTACTGCTCTTCACAGTAAGACCATGTGCTGTGATGTGATGAGGCTCATTTGCCCCCTCCTCTCTCCTACATACCCCCAACTCACTTAAAAAATACAACATTTGATTGGAATGAAAACGATTAGTGTAAAAATGGATGGAATACGGAAGATAAAATGTGGAACTTTTTTCTTGTCGAGCACCATTTGAGTTGCAGCCAGAGTACTTTATATCAATCCGTGATGGAAAATATCAGCCTGCCACCTTCAGTACATAAACAGCAAGACGACGGGTGCTGTGTTCCAAACAACAAATCTGAAGGACAGAATATTCCATAAGAAATGATTTGAAAGCTGAACTCTGACCATCGCTCATTTACAATGGCTTGACATTTGTTCTGGTTTGGCCTTGGTTGTTTGACCTGGTATTTCAATAGTTTCAGACCCACTATTTCTTGCTGGATCAATTTCTTTGGATCAATTTATATTTTCCCAGGTTCCATAAGTCCAGACAACACAGTGTCTGGAAATGTCATCAGTCATTTCCAGACACTAGCTTCGTCTGAAGCTCTCCCTGCATCCTCAGCTGGAGAGGGTTGAATTATCAGAGAAACCCAAACTTACAATCAGTTCTGAGGAAGTTGTTGAGAAGCTGGAACAGTGGGAAACTGTCCCAGGAGTCTACGGGCTGCACCTGGAGAGCGGCGTCCATGTCGTCTCTATACAACGACAGAAAGGTTTCGGCGTGTTCCGCCATCAGGTCGGGCCACCAGGAGAAAGCCTGAGAAGAAAAGAAACGCAGCGCCTATGTCAAAGGTCAGTTTTTCTAACCAGGTTTCTATTTATTTCTGTCCAATTGTCTGTAAAGCTGTGAATCAAATCTCAAATACATGTCGTTTCACATTTACAAACTTTTTTGTTTATTTCCAGAATTGGATTAAATATAAAGCTGACACTATGACCTTTATATTAATATGTAACTGTGACTACTGAGACTGATTAGCCATAAAACCAAGCTAAACATGCAATACAGAGTCATATTAGATAGAGGTCCATGTTGCACTACATTTGTGTTGATATTCTGAGCATGCCATGCAACTAAAAGCATGAGGAGAGCATGGGTTGGACTTGTTGGCCAATGAGAGCTTCAGAGAAGCACCTGCTGATTCACCAGTGCTCACATCGTTAGTTTAGAGAGCGTCCTTCAGCAGCCAGGGGTCATCTTTCTCAGGTGACCACTATTGAATAGACCTCTGAGTGAAAAGTGCAACTGGCCATGAGTCACACGCTGACGCGCTGAGGGCTATGTCTGTGCGCAATGCTGCTATGGATGTGAGTTGTGATCCTAAAGAAAAGAGATCTGAACTCAAAGGACCACTTCTCTGTTCTTCTTTGAAGAAAAACAAAATAAAAGTGTGACGTGTGACGGTAAGGAGATTTAACGTAAAGAGTGAGATTGGTCATTGGTCTGTTTCTCTAACGGCTGTTTGTAAAGTCGGGCAGCTGCCGCCAAAATAAAAGTGTGACGGTAAGGAGATTTAACGTAAAAGACTTTAGTTGAAGAATAATAAAGACAAAAGCAATCAACAGAACAGGGACAAAATGACAGACAAATGACATTAACGTTCCTGTGGAACCCTACAGTGATTAACACTGGACATGCACAAAAGAAATGACAAAAAAGTGTGTGTGTACTCTCAGTCTTTCCAAAAGAGGTGTGAGTACTAGCTCATGACACCAGCAATCCTTCGATGACAAGCAAACCCTTCTAGCCACTAGAACACTGGCTCCACCTTAACTGGACCAATAGAAAATTGAGTTAGTATTACTATAGGGAATTTTGAAAAAGTGTGGGAAAAATTACTACAAAAATGTACTACAGAAGTGTAGAGCTCTGTTATGTCAAAACATCCTGATCATCACCAAAATCAATCTTTGGGGTCACGTCCTCTGTTTGAAGAAAATGTCTTTGAAAATTCTCGCAGAGCATTTTTCTATTATGCCACTCTGAGTCTAATAAAACGATAACAAAAGAAACTCTTTTTAGACGAAGTATTGTAGTGGTGAGGAAAAATTCTCAAGGAAGCAAAAAAAGAATATGAAAGGGACAAAAAAAAAAGAAGAGAAAAAGTCATGAAAGGGTCACAGAAGGCAGAGGAAACACAGTGGAGAAGCCATTCATCAATCAAAATGCAACTGTCTCCTTGCACGTAAAGAAGAGTGTCATCCGCATAGACATTGACATACTATTATAAAAAACCAAGGACATATTCAACAATTCCGTCATCAATTGCTTGGTCATAAAGGTTGTCTTCATTGATTGAACGTTGGAGGTGAATATTGTTGAGCAGAGATGACAATACGCTCCCTCTGACCTCTGACCTCTGCTGATCTCCCTCTAATGTTGAGGTACTACGTCAATTATCTGCATAATTCATCTGTGCTGCTTTCAGTAACGCGTCACGTTCACTGGTCAAAACAGAACCAAATTAATGCAGAACATCAACTCCCAACCACTTTGGTGTGCTATTATTATCATTTTGGTTGCTGACAGATCGACATTATGTTTTACAATCTGCCGTGGTCATTTCCAACTGACAACAGTCTTTAAAAAAAAAAAAAACCAGCAGGCACATTTACATTTAATTTCAAAACAACTCTCTGCTTTAACTTATTTTGCAAAGCAATTACATGTGTCAGCATGACTTAACCAGAAAAACAATTTAGTAAAATATAAACACAGTCTGAACGAGGCAGGGTCAGGTAAAGATGTCTATTCCTGTGAACTACAGGATCCTGACCTGCACACTGAACACCTCATTATTTCTGTCTGACTCATTTTTTCTTTCTCTTTGTGTTCATTATTTACCGCCATAGTGAACTTGGGCTTTAAAGGAGAGCAGCGAAATAATTGTATATTCAAGGAGAAATTAACAAGACGAGTCGGATAATTTACATTCTATATTCAGTCGGCAGACAACGTGTTGATGTGAGGCTACACAGAAGCCTCCGTTTATCACTTTTTATTTTGCTTCTTCCCCTGAAGCAAATGTGTTAAAAAAAACTTGTTATCACATCTACAAGTTATCACTGTACGACATGTAAACAGCCTATTTTTTCAATAGAAATTCATATATTGTCAATGGGCATTCACTAGAACACAATGCTGATCTTTATGCTGCAAATATATGCTGTAGAGATAGACTGTATTTACAGCATATATTTACTCTCCATTTAATCTCTGCATACAGTAACTGTTGATCACATCAGCAGTGGTAGTTTCCCAAGGACATTACTCTGTATAATGACTTTTTTGTTAACAAACAATTATGTTCACTTCACTATTCACTATTTTTATAGTATGTGATTGTTTTGAATGAAAATGCAACAAATCTTAAAATGTTAGCTGTAAATACAGGACAGTTCTGTATGTGGACAGACACGTGAGAACAGACGACTCTGCAGATGACTGTGTTTATGAAACAGCAGTACATCTTCACAGACAGTCAACTGTGAACTAATAAATCAACAATCGGCCAAAAAATACACAAATGAGGGCAAAAGACGACGGAAATATTCACAGAGAAAACTTACCTCTCTCCCCTTCCAACAGCAGAATAAGAAGAGACAAGAAAAGAGGAAAATCAAATATTAATTTGACGTGTTTTACTTTTAAGCTGTTTGCAGGGATTTTCTAAAAGAACCAAAATTTAGGGGACATTTATCTTTTTATTTTGTGTGGCTCTGTGGGAGCTTAAGAAGCTTTAATTGCCTAATAATAAATTGCGATACAGTTGAGATCTTTTTGGGAGTGAATAGGACGGAAACGATTCAAAATGGCGTGATCGGAGACACGTGGTGATGAAGAGAGCGGCGAAACTGGACAAACAGGAAAAGAGGATCTCAGAGAGGATTGATGGATGTTTTGAAGGAGGACATGAAGTTGGTTGGTGTGAGACAGATGTTTGCAAACCCAATTCTTTGGCAAACCTAAAGAGAATATTTACCTGCTCTATTAGCTCCGAATAATTATTTTATAAAAGAAACACTGAACACCACCACCATCATCATCACCATCATCATCATCACCATCATCATCATCATCAGGTCCGACGACTGCTCTGAGATCTTTTACTTCTGCCTGCCTTCTCCTGTTTCTGGCCTACGTCTTTTTTCAGCCCTTGTACTTCTGGTCCGACAACTGCTCTGAGATCTTTTACTTACTACGTCTTTTTTCAGCCCTTGTACTTCAGATGTTCAGTTGAAGGGGGAAAATGTGGTATTTCAAGTAAATTAAAAACTAAATTTCAAAAGTGCCTGAAACAGCTTGTCACTTCGACAACGATATGATGATAATCTGACTAAAAACTGAACGACGACAACTGGAAACACGGCCAGCGTGCGACTGAAGCTGACAGCGAGCGAGTAAACAATTAAGATTCATCTCTAAATTTGCGTTGCGACAGCTTGTAGCCGTCCTCTGGCAAAAATAAAAAGCTTCTAATTTGTAGTTAACGTGACATCTGAAGCTCGGAGCAGGGTTCCACCAGTCGCCATGGCAGCGGCAGAGCGCAGCGTCTTATTAATAGCTCAGAAACAGATGCCTGAACGCCACGTTGCCACTTAGGGCCAATCAAAGCGCCACGTCTCAACACCTATGATTGATCAGTTTTACACCGCCGTGCGTAAAACGCCGCCTGCATATGTGGCGTGGGCGTTGTTTTCATGGTGCCTCCCGCTGCAGACGTTAATACGGCACTGCCACTTGCCGTGTCATCTGCCACTTTAGCACGAACATGGTCGGAGAAGAAGGAAAATGGACAGTGCTGCGAAGAAGTGATCAAAAATGTTAATGAAATGATCAGGTGACTTGTGACATTTAGCAAAAGTAAAAGCAACAAGCCACAGAGTTTGATGCGAAAGGAAAAAAAAACTGTGAGAAAGACAAAGAAAGTAAGAAAGTCTCAGCGTTTCCAATCATTTCAAGAGAAAACCAGGCAGAGTTGACTTGATCTCTGAGACTTTCTTAATATGAACAGAGTTAAAGTCAGGTTTTCCCACGTCCATGACTGGACTGTAACGACGGCAACTCTTTGGACTGGTAATATTCCGATGTTAACACTTAGATATTGTTTTACACGGATGAACAAATTGAAATATAATGAACGTCCAGGGCAAAGTTCCACTTCACATTAAGAACCTGTGATTCTGTAGAAAACAGATGTTGACGTTGTACTTTGTTGATCTGAACTTTGTGTTAATGAGTGTTACAGAAAATCACCTAAAAATGAAACCTAAATAACTATTTACCTGTAATTATTACACAGACAGTATGTGGTGGGCAAAGAATGTAAATAATTACACGGTTTATTTTTATTAATTGTCGTTTTGTGCAAAATACAGTACGATAATAAAGTGGTGTTTTTCGCACTTCTGTTTTAGAAACACTGCAATATGAAGAAAGGTTCAACAGCGGTCGGTAAAGAGAGCGACTGTAAACAAAGGGTTATTAGATGGCATTGACTGTGTAAACTGTACTTAAGTGATACTTCAGACTAAAAATACTTACTACTGCAGTGGTTACAAATAAAACTACAACATTGTTTTAGGGCATAACACTAATCACCAACTAACTTGCCCAGTCCTAAAGTATACATTGATATTCTGGTGTGTTCAAATCAGTTTTTTAAATTATTAAAACCCTGTTAAATCACATGAACGAGGACTGAGAATAAAAACCAAGCTCACACACTCCCACCCTACCTCAGAGTGGTGCTCGTCGTTCTGCTGCAGGACTTCGATGCACAGCTCTCCCAGTCTCATCATGTCCTCCAGTCTTTTCTCCGCAGCGGCCTGAGCGTCCACTGAAGGTTCAGATGAAGAAAACAAACAAAAACAAAAACAAAAACACTACAGTTCCATGTTGTTGCACAGAAAAACACGCAACAGCCACAAAACACTTTTTTTGCAGTAATGCAGTGACATATTTTGTCAATAATGTTGACTCTGTGGTTTTTCCTTCTCTGTTTTGTCATGTTGGTTGTTTGTTTTTACCTATTTTGATATAATTTATTCTATTTTGTGAACATTTACACATTACTGCTACATCTAAGGTGCGTTGATGTTTAGGTTGCTGTCCTAACAATCAACATGTATCATGTTGTATCGTATCGTATCAAAGTTGTTGTTTCAAAGTCCACCTGCTAAGCTAACTGCTAAGCTAACTGCTAAGCTAAATCAACCACCGTTTTAGCCACAGAATTAGGAAATATGTAATCTCTTCATTTGTAAAACCTAAAACCAAAACTTACTCTTTTAAATCTAAAGGAAAAAATGAGCAGACATTACGTCAACTTTTTTTACTTTTTACTAAATAAATCCCTTCAATTTCTTACCTTTGATCTGAGCGTACTCCATGAGCTGACTGTAGTTGAGCCGAGCTGCAGTTTCCAGGCATCTCTGGATGAGTTTCTTCATGTCCTCTGGAGGAACTGGAGTGGTGATGTCTTTCATTAATACCTGAAAGATAAGATATTACACTTTCAAACGGCCGCTACTGTACACGAGCCGTCACCACCTTTTTTTTTTTTTTTTTCAACTATTCCTTATTTTCGGTGACGTGATAGGGTTCAGGTTTGTTTGTAATTCTTCTTCAATCTTATACACCGTTTATTTATTGCATCATGCAAATTAATTTTGGGTTAATATGGTTGAACATTTAAGGAAATGATTTATAAATGACTTTGCACATTGTGGCTCAGTGAGTCATTATTTTTATCATTTATAGCAGTTGCAAAATAAACGCACGTAACAAGACGTTCATTTGCTGCTTGTTTGATGAATACAGACATCTGTCATTTTCAAAGCGTTCTACAGTCTTTCTTTCTTTAAACATTCCACTTTCAGTTTGATCATCTGTGCATAGAAAAGTTATTGTATTGTTAGAGATGCAGGAGGGGGAGAGGGGGGGAGAGGTGGGGGGTGTATATGGAACTGAGTATTTAATTGTGTTTTCTACCCGTTCTTGTAGGGAGAGCGTCGCCTTCAGGGCCCCATCTGGTCGTCCGAACGGAAAGCAGTACCTGCAGATGCAAAAAACATGGGTGGGCGTCACATTTAGGAAACAATCTCCCAAGGACAAGTGCGCTGAGAGAGAAAGAAGTGAAGGCGAAGAAAAAGGAAGGACGGCGGAGGCAGCAGAAAGACAGCAGCCAGTGTCAGCAGATGGCTGCTTCCTTTTCATCTAATTACACTGAGGAAGGATGCTTTTCTCACCTCCAGCTCCATCTGAGCTCAGACGAGGAGGTTCACGGAGGTTTCACGTTGCTAATTGACAAGTGAACAGTACTTAATAAACAAAGACACGTGGTCACGCGGGTCAGACATTTACTGGACAAAAACCTATAGGCAGGTGTTCTTGTTCCTTCACAGACGTGATATAAGTAGAGAAAGCACAGGCTCGTGTCGAGGCCGCTGCGTTTTTAATTTTTTTTTAAATCAATGCACTCGCCGCGGGGCAAGGTTAACAAAATATGAGTTTTCCTGAATTTTTTCTTTAGATCTCTACCACAACTGAATAATTAAAAACACATGCATTAAACACATGACCTTCGATCAAAAATAAAGTAAATCACATTAAATGGAAATGGTATCTAACATTACGTGTGTGATGTTCATTGAACGGCAGACGACCGAGGACTGAACAGTCAGAGATGAATGTGGTTATTGTTTCTCGAATCTGACAGTATTAATATGCACATTTGTTCTATTTAGTGCAGATATCTGACTGTATTAATATGCACATTTGTTCTATTTATTTATTTATTATTATTGTTATTATTAACTGTGGCATGCAGAAATTTGAGGCACCAAGATCTGAAAGAACAGGTCCAACCACAGAGCATGTCTTCACTGTCCTATGGTCCACTAAGACGAGCTCTGGCCTGAAGATCTTCGACCTACAGTAATCTATTTTCCTACACACTCTCCACGTCATGGCTTTATTCTTTTACCGGGGGATTCTTCCCCCTGACATTTACCCCGTCGACTCTTTGTACATTCTGTGCAGACATGGACTGACTTCTACTGCAGAACAACTGAGTAACTGGAAAAACCTGCAACAACAGCTGCCAAGTCCTTGAGACGGACGTCATCATTGGTCTCTTCATCAGGGACATAAGTGTGAACTGTCTACACTCAAAAGGAGTTTGTGTAACTGATGCAAACAAAATATTATTTCAAGTTAATGATATAACGTTTATGAAAGAAATAAAACATCTCAGTGATGTTACCAAACGTGGGAATTTACATTAATTTTTCATCCTCATAGCCATTGTTTTGATGTTGAAAGGGTAAAAAGGAGAATTGGAAACAGAGTGGATGAAACCAAAAACCCACAGTGAAGAAACAGGTTTTTTAGAAATGACAAATCTTGTTTCATTATTGGCATTATTGGCACGTGAAATTATATTGCGTAATTATAAGAGTGAGCATTCTTTTTATGGAAACCCCGCCATAAGAGGTTTATGTTTGGTGGGACGGTCAGGCCTGTGAAAGGACAAGGGTTTTTCCTACTTTATTTAACGTAATCCTAAATGAATCCTAAATGAATCCTAAATGCCTGAGATCAACTTTAATCCAAACAAGCAGGAAATATACAAATCCTAAATGCCTGAGATCAGCTTTAATCCAAACAAGCAGGAAATATACCTTGTCGTGCTAATGTCCTTGACATTAGCATAATCCCACCATTGTGCTGCACATTGTTTACCAGCATTAGCCTCTTGTTGAGGTGAGTTGTAATGATTCCTGTTGATTGCCCCCCCACCCCCTCACACCCGAACCCCTGCTGCTACACTCTTCTGGCCCCTGAGTGGCCCCTCCTCCACACTCTGGTCCAGATGGAGGGCCCCTGTCGAGTGAGAAGGGTTTCAAGAACCGGGGCTTTAGGACACTTAATGGCACAGGTCCATTCAGACAAGTGTTGCTCAAGGTCTTGGGGCTGTTGCTTTCACACCGCGCTCACAATGTGTTCACAAGGCGGTGGCGCGGCGGCGGCGCTGAATAGCAGCACGCAGATGCAGGGAGGTCTCAGCAGCCGCAGTCAACACATGTCCAGGGTCTATTATGCTGAAACACGCCCAGACCCCCACACATCTCCACTCCATACCAGAGCTGCATTTCAAATAACATTTAATGGATAACAATAATGATCCCTAATATGAATTCATTACAATTAAAATGCCCCAGTTTTGGTACCATAACTTGGTTACTGAACAAACCAACATTACCACACAGACACAGGGTGTGATGTCAATCCTAAGTCGCTAAGAACTGTTGTCTGGTTTTGACGGTATTTCTTGAGCTGTGTTATTACTCCTTTTTTTTTGATTTCATAAATCACTGTGGAAATGAAAAACAGTGAGAACAACAATAGAAGTGAAGAAAGATTATAGAATGGAGCTGGAGTTTCAGATCTGTCTTTACAGTTTGGTTTTAACAAAGTGGTGGATTTTTAGCATCATTAAGAAGAAGGAAGGAATGAAAGAAGCTAAGGTCAAAGGAGTGACTGTGATCACCAAGAAAAGACCTCAGACAGTAGAAGAAGTGGAAAAGTTGACACTTTTCAGTTCACGAACAGCCTTCAGGAACCAAAGCTCCATGACAGTTCAATTTTTCTTGGCGTGAATGAATTAGACTCTCTTGTTTTTTTTAGAATGTAACAAATGGAAAAAAAAACCATCCTACCTGAAATGTGTGATCTGGTACTCCAGCAGAGCCATGAGTCGACTCCTGATGGCCTCGAACTCCTCCTTCTCCTCAGCTGTGACCGTACCCATCCCATCAGGTCTGGAGGCACAGGACACAAAAAGGTGTGTTGTTGGAACATTAGTGATCCTCTGAAGCAGTGAACATCACAAAACTACAAAAGTACCAGACCATTTTTCAGTTTATTGACCGATCATCGGTGGGTCAGGTGAAACACACACAGAACTCTTTAACCACCACTAGGAGAGACTTACAACCTAAAGAACACTATCCCCACAGTGAAACATGACGTAAGTGTAGAAGCTCTAAAGGTGCAGAATTGGGAATTCTGTGACAATGGAATGAACTCGTGAATGTATTTTAGAAGAAAATTTCATGCAGACAGAAGTGATTTGGTTTTGGGTCTTATCTTCCCAAAAAAAAAAAGTGCATCGCAGGTTTTAAATATTTTAAATGTATTGCAGATTTTCTGCTCTATCGCAGGTTTTTGCAGCATATAAAAAAATGTTCCAATAGTTCCAATATTTTCATTATTTTTGTGAGCCTAAGCCAAAAAAACTGTAACTGTAAAAAAAAGTGAACAAATAAATTAAAAAACATTTTGTATGTATATACGTTAATAATATAATAACTATCGTGTCTCTGCAGTTTTTCACCATCACAGACAGCCTTGAAACGTAACACCTGCGACAGACTAGGGACCACTGTGTGTGTATATATGTATATATATGTATATATATATATATATATATATATATATATACATATAAAGCCCAGGGACTGTATCACTAAACTTTTTTTGAACAGAAAAGTGTCAAGGAAATAAAGAGACAAATCACATGTACAGCCTTGGGAATCAGACAAGACTCTTTTTCTGTTGTAAATCTCTTTCCCACTCAGCAGAGTTTGACTGCTTGCTTTTACCAAACTAAGTGATGGAGCAGCCAAACTCTTCAGGCTGACCCCAGAGTCAACCAATCAAACAGAAGAGCCTGCTCACGCTCCTCTTCCTTCTCTACGTCTCCTGCTGCCAGAAGGAGGAAAGTCCACAAATAAAGAAAAAAAAAAAAAAAACACAGCTCGCTGAGGGCTTCATTAATGTTTGTAAAGCTTTCATTGCCTTCCTCTGAATAGGCACTCTTGCAAAAAAGGAGAAAAATGCAATCAGGACCCGGAGCGACCAGCCTTGACTTTCTGGGCTTTTTCTGTGCGACTGAAAGAGAAAAGCAGCCTCTCTAAACGGCACTCGCAGTCGCCCGGAGGGAAGAAGCGAGGAGGTTGTCTGTTAATGAGTCGTTCTCATAAAAGCCTTCGCTGGTCCGGCCCCTGACCGCAGTACCTCGCCTACCAAACGACTTCGCCCAGATCCTGGCTGGATATTACAGAACCGAAAATTAAAATGTGACGAGGAAGAAGGAGCGGCAGGTGAGTAGAGGACACCGGACTGGTCCTGCTGGACATCCAGCCCACTGTCAAAACTAATGAACTAAGAAATATATATATATATATATATATACACACATATATACACATATATTTATATATTAGGCTAATGCTATATATATATATATATATATATACATATACATATATATATATATACATATATATCTGAATATATATATATATACACATATATTTATATATTTGTATAATGCTATATATATATATATATATATATAGCATTATACAAATATATAAATATATGTGTATATATATATATTCATATATATATACTGTATATATATACACATATATATACACATATATTTATATATTAGGCTAATGCTATATATATATATATATATATATACTGTATATACATACACATATATATACATAAACATATATAATACACATATATACATATATGCTATTGTGACAATAGGATATTAGAACAAAGTAGTATGTAAAGAGTTACAGGTTTACAGTGTTTGACCTTTTTAGCTCAAATAGCAAAAAAATACTGTTAATACTGTTGGTCTTATATTAAAGACATCTGTTGATTATTATTATTATTTTGTGATGTTGACTTTATTGCAAAGTGTAAATATCTCCAGATGTTTTATATTTACTCTCTTAAAAGGTTCAACTAATCTGATGACTACCTTCGTTTGTTGAGCAACTCTGATTAAAAATATAATTAAAATTAAAGTCTGTAACTTCTGCATAGCTTGATGTAACAGAATTTCAATAGCCTGAATAAATCTAATGTATCTAATGTGTGAGTACCAGGACTGGATGTTAGCATAACCGATAATCGATACCCGATCAAACTGTTGATCAAGTTCTGTGTCTACGACGGTTCAAGTTGCAGCATTTATTTTATTGAATTAAACTAATTATCCATTTAATATATCTGGTCTCCTTTTACACACTTTGATCAGATTATGACAAGTTGGCAGTAAATTGGCAGGAAGCTGAGTCTCTCCCTCTCGTTGCTGTGCCACTACATCCACTCGGATGCCAGTTCATGCTTGGTCTCACACGACGGAGCGGGGAGCGAGGCGACAGCTTGTCCAGCTTCAGACACATTGTTGCTGCTAAATGAAGCGAGCATATTGAAGGCGTGGCTGCTGTCAGAGCATCTCCAGGGTGGAGGAAGAGGAAGAGGAGGAGGAAGAGGAGGAGGAGGAGGGAGCAGCAATTGTCAAAGTGGACTCAGGTTAAGGTGTTTACACCCCGAGTGTGATCGGCAATCGGCATGTCAGCCTGTGGCTGTTTAGTCCTGTTGTCATTTGACGAGAGTCATCATGAGTGGGAGTCGCTGAGCACCGTGGTGTGAACGTGGTTTAAGATGAAGAGGTGTGAAAAAGAAGGATGAGGAAGAGTGACAGGTGACCCTGAGCCTCACCTCCATCCTCCGACATCACCTCTGCAGAGACGGGGGTGGGGGG